CCTGCCCTGACACATCTTATCAAATTGTACTTTATGGACTGCATGATTCCGGATAATTGGCGTTCAGGAAGAATCACTCCCAAACATTTAATTTTGGTCCTTAGTGCTTTTGTCCAATTGCCCGATCTTCCGCACTACTGAAAGTGCGAACGAGTTGCCTTGCATACAATCAGACCGTTCACTTCCAGTTGCTCTAATCACCTGCGATTTGCTTTTAAGGTCAGTCAGGCTCTAAGAGGTTTAGATAAGGATTGCAGCTCTTGATTACTTCTAAGTATCCCGTGCCAGCGTCTACTGGCGGCCCTCCGGCTGCGCTGTCTCCTGGCTCGGGGACTCTGTAATTCGCCGCACTCAACACGTCCAATGTCCACTGATGTTTCATCTTTCCGATAACTTGGTGTTGCTCTGACTTCTAATCTTTATTTTCCCTTCATATTAAGATACCCTTTATTAACATTCGTAAAAATTCGTCATTTACGTTCCTATTATCCACTCCAGGTACCAGCCTGGCGATTTGTCGATGACTGTATTCTCCTCATTCTCTACTGCTTTCCAATTAGTTTTCCAGCCTTAAATAAATAATTAATTATGGATCGTGCCGATGTTATTTAATGCTATTTCATTTATATTATAATACACTGATCAATTTTTTGATAAGCTAGCCCATCCCCACCACTTTGAGTTAATGGTTGCGAAGCCTTCCCGTACTATGTTCCGAGGTTTATCACATGTCCTAGGCAGCTGCTGTACATCGGCATATTAGCATTCTGTACTGTCATTCCTAGCACACTACCTTACGTGTAAGGAAACAAAATGCAGAAGTTGAGATAAGATCTGTTTCCAGAACATATGTGTATTTGAGGTAAGCCTCTATATTTTTGGGTATTCTGTTAAAATATCTTGTTGTTGCAATGGATAGAGCCAAATTTTTCTACCTTCATAATAATGCGTATTTCTCTCTCCTAAAAGCCAAAGAAAAGCCGTCCTTGATTTTTGCCGCTTCCTGCCAAAATGCATAGGCGCTAGTTCATTTTACCTAAAATTTTCACACGCTCTTATGATTATATTGGATTCCGGAAAGTTCAATGTCATTTTGACTGAGTTACTCCCATTTCCATGAAATTTTCAAGACTAGCGCTCGGTAAGTTCGAAACTACTTCAATGAAGTTGAAGAATAATAGTGAATGCCACTTTGCAGGCTTTGGCAAAATAAATCCAGCGTTTAATGAGCAGGCCATGAAAACAGTTGAGAAGCGAGCGTAGGAGGCGGGGTTCCAGGTACTTGGGGTTATTAAAGAGAAAAATGGCTGCTGTTTGAGAAGAATGCAGTCCAGAAAATGAATGTGTAGCAAGAGTGCAGCGGAATATTCTAGTCACGTTTTTTTGGCATCGAACTGGGACGCATTACCAGAAAATTGTAACTGAATGAACATTTTCCTGTTACCGGTTGAAGATTGGATCCGCTGGTTGTTGGACTGCTAACTCAGTACTATGCCTCTCGTGATGAGACGAGGCAGAGGGAGAGAGATGGAGAGGGATAAAGAGAGAGTAGTTAAAAAATTAATGTGGTGGATTCGGCATGCGGAAATTTTGGAATCCCCTTTAAGTGCAAAAAAATGACTGAGAGTTGGTCTAAACAAGAAACCAATTTAAAAACATTTTGTGGCGCTCCGAAACTGGAATCGCCAATAATATGACGTACGTGCATATGAAGAAATAAGAAGCTACAAGGAACATCCCCTAATTTTCCTCAAATAAACTGAATTACACTGAACATATTTAACATTGCAATGGCCGTAAGCGAAAAGAACTGACAATACGCAATATGCGTCCCAAAAACAGAAATAAAACAGCTCTCGGTAGCTATGGCACCGAGGGCGGTCAGCAAGCCTTAAATTAATCAGGTTTTGTTAGGCAGTAGCATCGGAAATCTCGTACGGTAAACAGTGATCTATGTTTAATCGACGAAACCACATAAAGTCAAGTTTTTCAAATCCGCAACGTTCTTCGTAAGTTACATTTTTGGTATTTCGAAGTTAAGGCTTGTTTTCTAAATAACCCATTATGGGTATACTTTATTTTTTTTCCGTTCACGGTCGCAGGACGCTAAAGAAACAACTTAAGTATTGCAGATTAGATCTAACGTACATTCTAAAAATCGGGTCCTAATGTCGTTGATTTAAAATTCCGGACGCTAAATCCGCCGCGTAACCAGCCTTCTTTTATCATTCTGAGTGTAAAAAACAAAACGATGCAACTCGCGTCAGAATTCGCTAGTCATTATCCTCGGTAAGATGCAGTCGACTTTAATTCAAAAAGGACCATAATCAGCACTGGAGCATCGCGACTGAGTTAACATAACCGTTTAGCATGTGCGACTCCGTATCCGAAGCTAATGCTCTGCAGAAATGAGTAGGAGTTTTCGGATGAAAATGAGAGCATGAGAATTTTGCACAATATTAAATTGGGCTTGTAAATACATAACACTTTTCACCTCCCCCCAGTTTAGAGGCAATGCCCATATGCATATACCATTGGGATCTACCTAGCAACACTCCTGGAAAGTGGTTACCAGTGGTTTTTGAGTAGTTGGAGTGCTCAGTAGAAAAATAACTACAACCTGTTGAATTATGGCAGTTTGGAACGGGTAAGGTTTGGCACGACTACAGTGTGTATTTTCAGTCTCCCTTTCTTCTTCTTCTCCTTTTTCTTCTTCTTCTTCCTGGAAACAAGATTCTGCACCACACAAGCGTGCATTTGCAAATGGTTGCTCGCCGACGGCTGGAGAATTTGCCGGTTGCGGCTGCACAGTCAGC